ATGTATGAGTTTCGTAACAATGGTTCATTTAGCCAGCATAAAAATCTGCAGTTCAATCTAACTATTCCAGTAATAGTTATATGATGTATTTTTATGCGCTTAGCCACCTGTGGTAATCCATAGAGATGTTTTCTTTCAATGTTATCAGTAGCTAGTAAAAAGATGAGTTGAAAACAGTTTAAAAATGAGTGACAGAAGGTAATATGATTTGAAGACACTGGGGGATGATTGAAACAAGTTAAAAAAAGCATTTTGATCCAGTATGTTTAGTGGAACGATGAAAAGATCCTAGAAGGTTTGTATTTCATCAATGATGATGATATATGTCTAGTGTCGCACAAACTTGGAGATCTGTAGGCGAAAACTTACACGTTGACAGAGGAAACGGGGCAAGGCAGCGAACACGGGACACCCTTCAGGTGAGCTTGGAGAAGAAAGAGGTGATGAAGATACCCAACCACCACCATCAACAGGAGAAATCTGAAGGAAGTTATCTCTTCCACCTACATAGGCAAGGCAGCGTTTCAAATACAGTTGGCGGTGGAGGCAGAACAAACGAGGACGTCAAAGACAGGATTGGAAAGACAGCAAGACAGGCCTTCCTTCATTAATGTGAAATCAGTGTGGAGATCTACTGCACTCCACTCAGCATAAAGCGTGAACAACATCCGGATTTTCAATACTTATATCAGTAAAGTGAGTCAAAGCTTCTATGTGATGGTTTAGAGACTTGGCGCGTTACGAAATGGATTTTCAACAAACTACAGATATACATCATCAACAGCTGCCACCTACGTTTACTCCATACTGAATAAATAAATAAATATTCTATTCTCAAATTAGTAAGTTAACATGAGAGAAGCCAGTTTACAGATATCATCACATTGATATATGTTGAGGAATCCACAAGATTTTACGGGACCTGAATGGTACAGAAGGGAGATCATTGAATTCGACTAAAAACATCCCAAGATTCCACAAGTTACGAAATGAACAAGAAAATACCACTCTTCAGACGACCAGATCAGTAAGAATAAGCAACAAGGAACTCTGGCTGGCTGGCAACAAACCAACCAAGAACCTATCGCCCAATAAATATGCAGAAGATGAAGGTGGAGATGAATTGGATTGCGAAGACCATTTGAAGACATAATGCACCAGGCTAGATCAGGTCCTCAAGTAAAACCCAAAGGGGTGAGGGTGACACGGAGGAGGTAGTGTGAGGAAGAAATGAAAGCTTCTGAGCAGCCGTGAAGCCAGGTTGAAAAGACTCCCCAGAAGAGGCTGAAATGGCCACGTGATACTGAAGCCCTATTTTCCACTAGGAACCCAAAGGGCAAATAATATTGATAAATAATTTTCAGTAGAAGGTATTTAATAGTTCAAGGTTCAAGTAGACTACCAACATTAAACTGAAACTGTGTTATGTAGATTTTTCTACTGCATAAAAGAGTACATAGTTCAAATATGATTTATTATTTCAGCAACTAACCAATGACTGGAGTTAAAAGTATGTGAACTGCATGCAACCATCCCTCTTTCGACGGTATGGTTCAAGAATTCCATTGACAGCTGATAGAAGCTTCAATAACTGTGAAGAAGGTTGATGAGGGACGTGACAGTCTGCCACTAGTCCTGTTTGGAATACGTAAGAAGGTCAAGCAATATATTGAGTATTTTTACAACACAGTTGGTTTATGGACCTACGTTACATTACAACTTTAAACCCTCTCACGCCACTACCGTTAAGCATATCTTCCTTAACATTGTTTGCATTATTATCATGTTTTTATCCAGGACGATGGTGTTAAAGGCTTAATGCAACGATCTAATGAGTAGCCATTGAAGTTAATGAACGATATGGAGAGGGCTATCATAGTTGAAAGTGCTGGCCAGCAGAAAACTATAAGCACTGCCAGATAGAAATTAGTTCCCATAGTAGCGAACTCAAATGATGCTTTCTTTGAACACTTAGTAAACATTGAAAAGGGCGTCTACGGTTGTCAATAAAATTGAAATGACAACACTAGATTCACTTTAAAAGGGTTAAAAATGGTAACAGAAGGACTTGGTTTGGAGGAAAAATCTAGGTGATTTATTTCTTAAGCTGGTATTCATCATGGTCTGCCATAAGTTGGGAAACCACTTAAGACCTTGGAGCACTGGGTGACTGTTTCATCATAACGTGGGACTCTTCAGCAGTGTTCACCCATGACCTTCAGGTTTGGGGGCGAACATGTTATTGTTGAGCTTCTGGGTCGAACTGCAATAGTCCACATTCTCTTACTTCTGTCAATCCTGTATACGGCTCAGCACTGAGGAATCTCACACTAAGACAAAATAGCTATACAGGGATTCCAGGCTTTTAGTGGTTCTCCACCTAATGGCAGTCTACGGTGAATAATATCCTGAAATTAATAAGTCCCCTTAAACCAGATGTTAAATCAATGTACTACTTATGAAAACCACTGCCAAACTCCTCATCTTCTTGTATTTATGCCCTTGTGTGTTATTTCGGTCCTTCATTAGGCTAACCATGATGGACTGGTTAGCTGTTCTTTAACCGCATTCCTAAGGCAAGTATAACTTGCGTACACATAACGCATATTTTGTTTCATCATCATAGTCAGAAATCACTTCTGGTCTTTTGATATGCCAATGGCTCAGTGAATAGTGAGGTTTTCAGTGTATCGGGCATTATCCACAGAAATTTCAAATACTTTATGTAAAATAGTAATATAAGTGGTGGAATATACTGCCATATCAAACTTATTTACTTGATGTAAAGCACACAATGATATAGTATTATTTACTTGATCATGTTTCGAACAGGAATTACTCATAACCATATCAATTTAATCATACCTTTTTCGACAAATGGTTTTTTTAGTCCTGTCACCTCATATTCCTTGCTTCTATTCTCAGTATAGATATTGCACCATCCCTATTACACCTGTTGGGTGTAGATTAGATGAACAAAGATTCAGTAGTCAGTAACCTCTGTTTTTACCTAATTATATTGGAGTTAAGTAAAGTGGTTTTATTCCACCCACCCTATTGCGCTGTTGTATTAATGCATGGATTGTAATAGCTGAGTTCTTCTTCTAGATTACTGATCTTGTTCGGGGGTCTGTCATTCTATACTTAGTTAAATTCCCATGTTCTGCTAATCTACCTGATCCCGGTCAGCTCCTTTTACCTATTTACAAGACCTCGGAGTCATTACAATAAATTTGATAGATTAGATTATTTTGCTAAATTGATTCCATCGGATCGTCCTTAGTTTTCAACTTTCAGGACAAAATATATGGACAAACAGAAAGAGTAGCAATGGTCTCGCCAATATTCTCAATCGTAGCAGACATATTTATTGATACTTGGAAGAATATGGCTTAACAAATGTTTAGTCTTACACCAAAAATATGGTGATAATATGTGGATGATATATTTACTCTCCTGAAATCAGAACATATCGACAACGTCGTACTATAAATATAAACTGAGTAGTAGATGCAAATGAATTCGCTTACGAAGTCAAAAATGAGTAAAGAGAACTAGGTATCTTGGATTGTACAGTAAAACGGTGCACAGACGGTGGTTTGGATACTAGCGTCTACAGGAAACCGAAACATCCTATTGAGAATCCATACCTCAAGTCAACTTATCCAATGTCACTTTAGACGGGTTTAGTCACATGTCTAAATGATGGAGGCAAAAAGCTGACTATTCGATGCAAGGACTTAAACAAGGGATTGAACAACGAAAAAGAGCGCTAATAGTTAATTATCATCTACAATTGATTAAGATATTTGGACGAGCTCACAAGAAACGAAAAAATAACGGTCATATGAGTAAGAATAATAACGACAACACAAGTACAAAATAGTTCACAGCCTCCATTGTATTACCCAAGTAAGGCACATCAGGAACTTTGCGTAGAATCCCGAACAAAGCCGGAATTAGGGTAGCATTTAAACTTATAAACTCACTCAAAGATAAACTTTGTCGGTTTAAGGATCCGATAGAACTAATTCAGCGAAATAATCTAATCTATCAAACTCCTCGTAATGACTTTAATGTGAAACACATAGATCAAACTAGCTGGTTGGGGTTAGTTAGATTAGCGGAACATAGAAATTTCGCTAAATACAGAACGACTGACCCAAACAAGATCAATAACGTAGAAGAAGAGCTCTAATATTGTAATGCATGCATTATTACACAGCCACACAATAGCTTGGGTGGAATAAAATCACTGTACTTAACTCGAATTTAATAAGGTGGAGACAGAGATTATAGTAATGATGAATAGTGGCTAGTTGTAGAGTCCAGGATGCGCATTTTATCCTATTTGGAAATCGTCAGCTGGATGTACCCACCTCCCAGTGAGTGATATTTTTCCCATAGTATAACCAGGTCAGGCTAGTGTATTAGGCATAATCATAGTTTAGTTGAGTTAAGAGTTTTCAGCACAATTATAATCTAATTGCTTGAGAATCTGTCATTAAATTTGTATGCACCAGAAATATTTTATGATGGTGTCTAATCAATAATTTCTTTATTTTTGTAGAAACAATCAGTGAGTTACTTAGTCTGCTTACGAAACATGTTCTCTACTAGATAATAATAATGATAACAGATGCTTGTTATTCAGTTATTGAAAATTAACATAAAACAATGTGGCACTTATTAAATAGTAAATACATGCTGATGATGAGTTCTGAATGAGACGAAACATATGCTAAACCCTGTCTATCATTATTACCTCCTGATCAAATGAAATTTGTAAAACTCTTTTCATCATTAGCTAATACTGTTGTATATTTTTTTTATATATAATCTGAATTTTTGAATTGTTCTTTGCTAACCAAACGAAAAACTTATCACCTGACTAAGTGAGAAAGGTATCCATCTATTTTGTAAGCTTATAATAATTTATTTAGTATGATAAATTGAATCTGGGCTAGTCACTCCTGTAACGCTTGTATAAAGCAAAATAATCTGGCAGCTCTTTAAACAAGACCTATATATATATATATGTATATGATGAAGTCACTGAACTTGAACAAAAGATAACAGTTCTACCCGGTCCCCTTTCCATTAGTCAAGTGTACATAGACATTTAAAATAGAATATCGATAAACGTGTACATAACATAGATAAGTTGATGATCAGTTCAGTTTGTATAATAATGAGATGTAGTTAGTGCTCATAAGAAGAAAATAAACAAAACATTTTTACAATAAAATATATTTTTCATCTGAATATGACAAAATAAAATGAAGAGAATTCAGTAAGTTTATAGATATATTGTTAATTTCTTAGTAAGTGAATAATGGAATTTGCTACTTACTTGCCTATTTAATTACTTTTTAGTCATGATTCTTGTTTGTACATTGTTATTTGAACTTGTTCAATATTCAATGCGTTACAAAGTCTGATAGTCTTTATAACAACTAGTTTACATGATCTAGATAATTTTGTATATCATTTAAGCTTTTCTCATATAACATAAATTTAGAACGTAACCAAATAAATAAGATGAATATGAGAATATGTAAAAAGGCGTCGATAATTAGAATAAAAGATGAAATAAAGGTAAGTGTATAATTATAAATCATTGTAAATAGAAATCCACCAAATAAATTTGCAATTGTTTCCATAATTGAAATAAGAGCAAATGATGCACTGATTTCATCACCTTTTACAAGTTTACTAATTAATGAACGTGTAGCTGATGTAATATAACCAGCAGCTGAACCGATTATAGCACCAAAAAATATCCAGCTATTATTTGTTGTCATACTAAATAGTAATAAACGAAATATTTTTAATGATAAACCAATCAAAATCAAGGTTATATCATGTGGTGCATACCTCTGCTCAATGATTGGTAGAATCAAGGTCAAATGAATAAACATACAACCATAATAACATGCCATATAATAACTATATAGTTGACTAGTCCATAAAGTTGGTTCATTGCGTAAATAAAGCAGAATTGTATCTTGTTCACCTGACTTTACCATTTGATTAAATAATACAGTGCCTAGAAGAATCAATAATAGTCTACGTTTTTCATTTTGATATTTTTTAAATAAAAACTCATATGATTGTTTTAACTGTTCAAATATCATTCTAATACTGGTTTGACAAGATATTTCTGTAGAGTTATGGATACTATCACAATGATATTGTTTTTGATTAGTTGACATGGTGCTTGTTTTCTCTTCATTTGAATATATGATTTGTTTATTCAATGATAATGTAGATGAGGAATCTTCACATAATAATATTGGAGTATTCTCTGTACACTTTGAATCAGTGACAAAAAATAACAAAATTAAAACAATAAATAAATTATTTACAATACAAAATATAATTATTTCATTGTAACTTAAGAAAGTTAAAAATATCGCCAATAAAATTGTACCTATAGATAAACCGAGACAATTAACACCGAGTAAACGTCCAAGCATAAGTGTACGACTATCTATACTACTCAAATCAGTAATATAAGTATTTGCACCCATAGTAACTGCACTACTTTTACCGCATACACCATAAATTGTTCCACCAATCAATATTAATATAATAGATTTATTCATTAAAATAATATTTGGTAATTGACTAGCACAGAATAGTGTACAAGCAATTGTTGCACCTAAACACGGAATAATCATAGATATTTTACAACCAAATTTATTTGAACAGATACCATAGATAATACATGCAATAACAGCAGGGAAATTCAATAGTATACGATAAGTTAATAAATAAATTCCTGATAATCTTTGTATTTTTCTTAATGTTTCATATTCATTTACATTCACTTGTTTAACATTATCAACATTATTATGATCAGAACAGAAATTTTGATCAGTTTTTGTAGAATTTGTTAATGATGTACATACAGTTTTGTAGATTTCAATACGTGTACCATATTGTAACAGTGTTTCAGTAAGTTTATATAAGAAAAAACAGAAGATAACAAAATGTGTTGATTGTTTGAAATTACTCCTTTTGAATATTGACAACATTGACATTTTTTTCTAAAAAAAAAGTCACTAATTCATTGGAAAAGATAATTGAAATTTTATTTGTTTTGACTAAGTATACAATAAATTGTAAATAAATTATTAACACTGAAAATATCTCAAAAGTGAATACTTTTTATTTTGCTTTCAACCAATCAGAACGCTAGGTTGATTTCTGGAAGGTGATTGGTTGGCAAGGTCAAATAGAGTACACATTAAGGTATTTTGTGTGAAGTTATGAGTTATTTCTTGCGAGGACAATGATCAAAATTTAAAATACTGAAATAATTGATTAAATTAATACCCTAGCATTTTCTTATTTTATTGTTATATAGGTTAGTGCCAACCATTTTGAACAATGGACTGTTAACAATAGTTAAAGGTCGTGTTTTAGTTAAACCACAATAAAACTATGGGTTTTCTGGTGTTCATCCTTACTTTGATGAAGAGAATCTTTAGTGTGTTCCATTTGCCTATTCTACTGATGATGTATATCACTCCTTAACAGCTGCATCCTTACTTACACATTCAACATTAGATTAATTCCTATCATCACGAAAAATTTATTTTTCAAATGAGTGACTTCATGTTTCACTTGTTTTGTTCTGTTAACTAGATTGCTTCACTTGGTCTGGCTTCCAATCCTGTATTATTGATCTTACTTCTTAAATATTGTTGTGAATACAGAGAATTTTCTCAAGTGAAATTACCACAGACGAAGGTTATTTAATAAATATTTTATACATGGGTCGATTTCATAGTAGAATCCGATCTATACTAATTACCTTCATTCAGGTAAGATTTGAACACTCACGTTTCTCAAATTTGTTATTAAATACCATGTGAGTGTGTCATTGTGTTGTCAGGCCCTAGGTTTTGTTACTGATTTGAACGTTTTCAACTTGACGTTCTCACACCATTTTTCACAGTATGACTGGCAGCTCGTTTTTTGCTCCCATTGTAATATAATTTGCTGATTGACTAATCTTTACTTTTACTATGCCAATGTTTCAAATTGCGGACAAGGTCATTTTTGAGGTGTGTGTTCTGGGATTTATTATTATTATTATGTTCTCGGAGGAATAAACTCTCCCATCATTTAGCTTCGAACTTGTTCTCTGTTCGTCCCAGGGTTGCAGTCAGTGGCTTTTGCGTACTAAGTTAGCTGTCAGTTAAGCACCTGTATTATATTCGTTCGGAATATATATCCCCTGGCGTTCGAAAATGTAACACAATACAACAGTGACACAATTGACACTGAGCGACAAGTCATTAGTTGATTCATATCGGAAACATCATTTATCAAGCTACGTATTGTCTGTAAAGTCAGAGCCATCTGCATTGATTTTTGCGTTTCCGGACGCTTATTCATTACCATTTACTGCTGTTGATGGTATTGCCTTAGAGAACAAGTGAAATACTTTACTGTATGCGAAAGAAAAATATCCTGATCAGTATTAAGGCGGTGAAATGCATCAGTAAGCTTCCTGGCTAAATGATGCCAAGTTTCCTTATTCAATAAATAGTTGCCTTCAAAAAAGTAAATTGAATGATCTAATTTTTGTGGGGTGTTCGGTTATATTTCTGTAGATGAATTTAAGTATCCTATAATTATACTGAAGACAGAATTAGTTCAGTGATGAATGTGTTACCCACGCTTTTTAGACTATACTAGTTTACATCTGTTGAAATTCGTATCCATAAGGCACTGAAAAGTCATAAACTACGGTGGAACAGCTGTCCATATTAGATGCTTTCCAGCGATATCTTCGAACATACTTTGTTCAACTGGATTTCAAACAGCTTTCTTTTCAGTACTGAACATTTAAAAGTGATGAGTATTGAGTCTATGCATTGTTTTACTAAGCCATAGGATAAAGATGTTTTTGTTTACTCTTGAAGACAATCTATCCTCTGCCCGCCAGTATTGAATTCTGAATTATAAAATGATTTATTTCCGATTTCACTGCTTGTTGATCCAGGCTAGATTCTTTAACGCAACTTATCTTTTCTCAACTTTGAAGGTACGGTGGTCTTACTGATGGGCGTCAGCATGGTTTTACTGAGATGAATCAGCGGCATATCTGTAGCCTAGATACAGCATATTCTCCATGGTAGTTCACTGCCTATGTCACAAACCTAACCACTAAATGCTTCAGGGCTTTCAGCTGCTAGGTGGGATGAGTTTCTTGCCAACTTTGAAGGTCCATTTGCCAAGCAAGCACCGATAACCACAAAACCTAAGCTAAACAGGGCCTCTTACAGAGTGACACAAAATGCGTGACCCTTGACTTGGGACATCGTTACATTATGCTACTATCCTTTAAGCATATACTACAAAGTTCTTCAAACAGACATTTTTCATCATTAGTGGTCTCAGTAACTCTAGATTGGTTTTCATCCTATGACCAACTCATGTGAATTACAATGCTTTTCAGTGGTAATCTAGTGTAATTCAGCTATTCTCAGCAATTAACATAACCCTGACTGGGGTTTTCTTGTTTTAACCTGAGTAAAGACTTTCTAAACGCTGTTCGACTGTTATGTTTAGGACAAAGGTTAAGGATGATAAAAACTTGAACTAGAATCTTCTGGGCCTAGTAGCTGTTGATATTATGACAGGCGGAGACTAGCAATGTGAAAACAACTTTTTTGAAAAACCGCTGGCTTTATTTATGCTTATAAGGGAGCCTGGCTTTCTAAAGTGTTCAGACAAACACCTATTTTGAGTGAGAGATTTTAATTGTAGTTCAAACTAGATTAGAGGTAAGTAAACACTGCTTTGAATAAACCTCTGAAAGCTTCAAAAGATGCTAAATACCGATGAATACTTCTTTGGTAATCTTCAGATTGCTTATGCAAGTGAACAGTACTGCGTGAACTCTCTCTCTCTCTCGCTCTTTAACACTGATATACAGGGGCTTTCTTATACTTTAATACATAAAGCTTGTCAGTATATTTCTGACGAAGGTTCGAGCTCATATCAAACGGTATTAGAAGTGAAAGTGAGCATCAACCCACAGAAAATTAGAGTCGTGAATAATCACTACTGTTTAACGTTATGTGCAGTCCATTATCAAACTAATGCAGTATAAACTAAAATAAGTGTAGTTAGACTGTGGCTATTTTTTTTTCCAGTATCTAATAAACTCGGCAACACCTCTGATGGATTCATTTTTAACATACTTCATCATTTTCAACGTATAGGGTGAGATGCTTTGTGTAATCAAAGCTAAGATCATGCAAAACTGTCCCAAAAGTACTCTCGTCACTGAAAAGCATACTAATTACAACCCACTTTTTCAATTTAGCTATTCGATTAAGCTGAATATATTTAGGTACATATCTGATGAGTTCGGTATCCAACTTATTGGAGCAATCGCCACAGCATAGTTAATAAGAAATGTTGATTTGTGTAAGCATTTTGAAAGTCATCCTATCTGATTCAGCAATATGAATAGAATACCTTGAATGCTTTCGCAAACATATGATTTTGTGTACAAGTATGAAGTCATTTACCCGGCTATAAGAGATCTAATTAACAACCACATATAGATTTGTTCTTTGGTGCTAAAGTCAGATTGTATTGTCAAAGCAATATGTACCAAATTATGCTAAATCTCAGTAAATAGCAGTTGACTAGGTGTACGCTATGCCAAATCATTTCGAATTTTTCATTCAATTGTGTTCTCTGGAAGTTGTTGATTGATTGAAAGGAAATCGGCAGATAATGCTGGAAAGACTTAGAAGGGCTGATAGGGAAATGAAACAGGGCATTTTAGGTTGAATTGTCTAATACGTTATAGGTTACCATGCTTGCCAGACTAAAGTATTTATCTCTACAAACCTAGAATCAGTAAAATTAGCCAAAACCCGAAGTATAACGGCAGTCTAAAATTTACATGAATGAATCGATGAACGTTTTATTGTTTGGCGTAAACGTTTTTGTATTATCACAAGGTGATCAGTCTGAGGTGGTGTAATATGTTTAGCATTTGATTGAGACATTAATGAGCACCTGAAACTTCTCGGGTATGTGAAGAGTACTGGTGGTGTACGCGGATATACAGTAAATTAGATCAAGAACATGTAGAAAGAGAAAACTAATTAAATTATAGATGAAATTTTCTCAGATTACTTTCAAATCTATCACAAATTGCTTTTTTAATTAATAGGCGGATGAATTAAGTTAAAGAAAGATCTGAACCACAACGAGATTGAAATCGACGGATTCTGGAATACCTATCCAGAGGCCTACTGGTTACTAAGCTGTGAGACTCAGCATCACTTTATTCAAAGAGGTTTGTACTCAAGTGGATTCTCCTCAGACTTCACACTAACACGCATAACTTTATATAAATGAGTGAAGGATATTCTAGAATATCCTCAGATCAAATTATAGAAGCAGTAATAATCCAGGTGATGATAGAAAGCAAACAATGAAAATGGCATGGCAATATGGAAACTTTGATTATGAATGCAGGTCGATTACTTCGAAAAGTCAAAGTTACGTAACAATGAGAGATGAAAATGGCGCTTACTGGAAGCCTCAACAAATGTAGTACGTTTATGAAAACAATGAAGCATGAGAAGGGAATGAAGAAAAAGTGCTTATTGAGTTCTCTGTGGCCAAGGGACGGATAAATTATGCCTCACAGTTAAAATGGTAGAGCTCTAAGCAAGTAATCCACTGGCCATTGGTTCAAATCCTCCTCAGACTGCGGTTTTCTATCAGATTCCTTTATCAACTGATTTGGTCTATCAATACATACTTGCAAGGTAGACCCCACCACCCTACTTGGATAATCAAAGAAGAATAAACAATACGTACAAAGTGGAAAAGTCCCAAACCAGGAAAAAACTCCTGTTCAAATTTCACTACAGTCAGTAAGTGTCCAGCCAGTATAAGTTAGAGCTGAAAAGTACCATCACATAGGCCATTCATTAGAAGATTATTTGATAAGAAAAGGACAACTCAGCGCATCCACTTTGAAAAGGTTCATAGACTA